GAATTTTAGCAAAATCAATGTTATACTTTTTAAGAAACTTTACAAAAACTGACAAAGGTCCTTCGGAAAAATGTCCATAAAAAGGTTTAGGGCCCACGTAGACCAATGTTTCAAACGTACTTTTGTTAACCAAGAGTTGCTCTACGACATCCTGCAATGCCGCATGTCGTACTATTAGACACAGCCAAAGTATAAAAAAATTGATTTTAAAAAGGGAGCTTGCACGGCAAAATTTGTATGCACATCGAGGCTTATAAAACACACATTTTGTCAAAGTTTCAAGTCTTTATGTTTAATAGAAAATAGAACAGAAGTTGTAGAATTTCAAAAAATTGCCTGATAAAGTGGTTTTTTGCAATTTACTAAAAAACTGGTAGGGATTTGTTCCAAGGTATCGAGCAGGTAGAAGTAGCTGGGCTCAGCACTAGCAGATTTGAGTCTCTTTGAGTAGTTAGGGATTTCTTTAGCTGAACGTGATTAAAGTAAAAAACTCTGCAAGGTCTTGCATGGCTTACGATTTGTCTGGGTATTTCTTCCAAGAGTCTTGTGACCAGGAAGAAAGCTTCAGTTGAAAGAAGATTAGGGCCAGATCCGACACCGAGCAACAGGGGATCCAAGAGACCGTAAGATCACAAGAACCGGGGTGAGTACTGTTCGTTTACATAGCCAGTAGTAGTAGTGTGCGCAAGGTGCGCGATACAGTGAGGAAGACGTTACGGGTCGTTTACTTCGGGTCAGTGGCTGTGGGGGACAAAAAACGAGTGGCTACTCTACATTTGGTTAGAGGAAACTCGAGTCGTGAGGTGCACTTTATGCCCTCCTCGAGCATAGTGGGTTGTGACTCCGGGTCACGAGTAGTGGCATCGTAGGGGAATAGTAGCTCCTTGGGAGCCTTGTTAGTGGCTTTTTGAACGTAATTGAGTGGCTCGTCGAAGGTGAGCAAATAGCGGTGGTTTAATCAGTGTTTAAGAAAGTATTAACTGCTGTGCAGGGCACTTTGAAATGCGACGCCGGAGTACGACAGTAACATCAAAGAGGCCAAATCCGCACAGCCATACTCGTAACGTTGTACTCGGAGTAGTTATGTGCGCGTACTGAGTGGGCTGCGTGCAACGTTACAAGTGACTTTGACGATTTTTGCCTTTTTTTTAACCATCTTACTATATTGGGATCGGCCCTCAAACTTAATATGATATTTGTATTGTTATTATCTAACACAAAAAAAGGGAATAAAAAATAGAAGATTAAATAGAAAAATAAAAAAAGAAATAAAATAAAGGAAATACAAAAAAA